TCCCCCACTGGATACATGTGTGTATATACAGGGCAGCAGTCTATACAATCCACTAGGAATCGGTTGGTGCTATTCGCTTCTTTCTTCATGCTATGTATTTGTCGAAAACACTTTGACACAAAACACTAGTGTAGTAAGCTTATGTCCTCTGGGGGAAAAACGTGTCCAGCACAAAGTAAGTAACGATACTTTTAAGGAAAATAATCAAATTTGATTAAGATATACAGAGATGCCTCAGGTAACATATGGCTCGGTGGCTATTGGACCAAGGGTCGTGTGGGAGCGTGAGAAAAAGTAATTTGGGAACAATAGTGTCAAAGGAAGGAAACATGGGAGTGCTGCTTGAACAACCATTTAGTTTAACATCCCCCCACTCTCTAGCTCTGCTGTGGCTATTGAATGTTAGCATGTTGGGTGAGAGGCAGAGAAGGGCAGAGGCGCCCCCACTCCTACCGTCCTCCCATTCACACTCTGTGTTCCAATTCATCCAGAAGCGAGAGGTGCATTATGTACTTAGGTCGCAGCTCAGCTGTTCCGAGAAATATAGTTCAACGGTTGCTTTCTTGTTCTGCATTTTTCTACGGCTATTGGGTGTACGAGGGAGGGAGGGAGAGAGAGGGGGCGTTTCGTGCCGTAATTTCGTCTTTCACTTTCTATGCTCATTGTGTGCTAATTTGTCCAGAGAAAGGTAGCTAAATATACCGTATGTTCTATCTTTCTTTTTTAGTGGCCATTCAATGCTAGCATTATGAGAGAGGGAGGGAAAGGCAAAGGTAATTTTAATGCCGCTAATTTGTCTAGAGACGAAGGCAGGGACGTAGGATTAGTTTCTTCTTTTTGTTCCATCTTTGCGACTGTTCAAAGCTAGCATGTTGCGTGAAAGGTGGTCAAATGTGTTTCAAGCCTGACAAGAAAGACAATCTATCGGCCTTTGGAAGGGAACCGTCCCATATAAAACAGTAATTAAGGACTAACAAATACACAAATTGTTTGCTGCCGGGTTATAAGTGGGAGTTGCCACGGTGATTCCACGGCAACCCAAACTTTTACGGTCACGGTGAGTTAAAACGTTGACTGCACGCACGTAAACACAAAGCGAACGTCCAGCCAAATCACTCATCATTCCCGTCACAGCCCCTCTAGTGAGCTCACTGGGAAATCCACCACGACAATACAATGAATGCCACTCAGGTTTGGAAGGTTAAATACTGAGGTTTATACAAATATGTAGGTAGGTACATGGGAATAATTTCCCTCTCCTCGCGCAAGGGGCACCATGATGGGCTCCAACCACACCTGTACATCTCTGACCCCCATACGCACCGTGACGGGCTCCAACCACACCTGTACATCTCTGACCCCCATACGCACCGTGACGGGCTCCAACCACGCCTGTACATCTCTGACCCCCATACGCACCGTGACGGGCTCCAACCACACCTGTACATCTCTGACCCCCATATGCACCGTGTGTAAACACACAAACTTGCAAAATTCTACGTACACACAAGCTGTCTGCGGATGATCTCATGCCCGGAGGAAGGCAAGTAAAGCAGTTGTATGCTAGTGTAACACCCTGTCAAAGCAAACACTGCAGAGTTTCCTATAGAAACAGTTCCGAGTCACCAAAGGTGCCAGTGATAGACCCCGTGAAAAGAATTCCACACTTACATATACCCACAGTCAGTGGCACACAATAGGAACCCAACCGATGTAACGTGTGACAAGCACGAAGCCCCTACTAAATACGTACATAGCTCAAGAGAGATAGCTAAACACCATTGTTCTTTCTACAGCTTTAAATTGTTATAGATGAAGCAAAATGGAGTCATAATTGTACGTACCGGTATACTTTGCTCGTGTTTTTCTATGCAAGCTTTGAGTGAACATAAGAATTGTATTGCAAATTCTTATGTGTGACGCTCGGATTGGGCAATAACTCTTCCGTGTAAAAAGCCCTTGCTTTAATAAAGTTAGGGGCTCAAAGCTGTATACAACGCATGTGTGTGTGTGTGTGCACTTCCGTTAGGGATCTAAAACTGATGGGGTTTCGTAATACCAGCTCGCACACTCACTCGCAGCCTAGCAACTTTTGAGTCCCGTTACTCACATACATAACTTCAAACCTTTACATACATAGATATAATTATGCCTTCACATAATGATTATCTCCTTGGCAACCGACACTCTCATGCACGTGTGGGCAAGATTCCTTCGAAATATACACATTCCACTTGACCGTTGGTGTGAATTGAGCAATTTTTGTTTCGTTGACTTTTCCTCGCGTAAAATGCGCCACAGTTCTGCCGTCTGGCGAAGCTAGCGAAGCGGAAACGATTAGCGAGGTGCTGTAGCTGCACAAATGCAACCCCCTACCCCTCGGTGTGCCACGTTAGCTGTTAGCGCTATATTCACAAGAATGAATATGCATACCGACTCCATTGTCCACATGTCGCAACATGCCTTTGCACAAAGTACAGTGAGGTCATAATATACTTCAAAAATTGATCTGTGTCTTACGTCTAGGGCTGTTAAAAAGTACTGCTGGGTAACATTAGCAACTGCCATACACAAGAGAGAGTTGGTGTAAGGATTGGCCATTGACAAAGCTAATGCGCTGAGAAATACACTGGAGCATACATAGTTAGTCCACACGTTCTTACAGAACTGGAACATTAGTACATTACATTAGGATGTGCTACATACACATACGTCACGATACGACCCATTTATGCCTGCCAACCATTTCCTGGCATGGTTGACGTCCCACGCAGCAGGAAAGGAGTTAGCAGAGGCACCATTAATCAGCTGTTACCGTACATTACCGCAATAACCCTTCCTTTTTGGGAGCATAGGTAAAGGTATACATTGTACGCTTATGTATCCACACATTGCATATAATTACATAAACACTGAAAGACAGTTAATTTTGACAAACCACAGCACAGTAAAAGTGCACACTCTGACAATCCCATTGTGTGCACTACACTCAAAATACCTTACATGGTGCAGACCTACTATGGTGATAGAGTAAACCTATCAAATTGTGCAGACCTACATAGTACACACTATGGTGTTACAGTAAAGCTATCGAATTGTGCTTTCCGCATAGCAGTCCACACATTGTTTCGCTCGCCTGGTCACAAGTGCAACATAACAGCTCTCTCAAATGCATACTGAGCCTAACAGATCAGCAATTCCATTGTACACACGACATGTAGGCGGCTAATAGCTACATGATTACATGCATAGTTTAATGCAGGCAGAGTGCATGGTTGGCAATATAATTATTATACAGTGAGTGAGAGACTGAGGTTATAGGCGCCTTGGAGGAGGAGGGGGCAGCTGTAACGTAAACATTTGCATTGTTTCCCTCCCGGTTGCTAGGTAAAGTCGTTGCCACGGACACTGATATGCACCAGGCAAACATCGACAATCCAGGGCCTTGGGGAAGAATGTTGCTCAAGTAAGCCAAAAACAGACAACATTCAAAGTGTGACACATCCTAATCACACCTAAAAAAAGAAAATGTGGCTATCTGCTGTGCTCTATGACAATACGATGTATGAAGAACTTCGCTGAAATGCATCTTTCTTTTTAGCAACACTTGACACCCCTGAAATAGGGACACCTCGCTCAAAAGGACACCTTCCCTTGTCAATTTGGTGTCCATGGTTTCACTGTATGCTGTAGAGAACTGAAGTAACTCTTTAGCTAGTAATGCCTTCATTAGGCTGATGGTAAGCAATATAGTCACATGCCTTCTCTCATGTCTCACAGCATTCACCGACCTACCCCTGGGTTGTCCTGGTAACCAACCAACCACCAGCCGTGCTCTACAAATGAGGCCCCTCACGGGACACGTATATAGTACATCATTCATGACACCAGAGTTACAACATCATTTATGTCACTACTACGCGTATAGCACTCATTCGCTCATTCACGACCGCTCATTCACGACCGCCTCTCGAACAACTGACATAAGCACTGACTTCATGCCGATACAATGCTAATTGATCCTCATCTAAAGGTCGGTTGAACCTATCCAACATTATGCAAAATGATTTGCAACTAAGTCTCGGGGCACAGTCGAGCCACTGTCATCCCGACAAAGTAGCATCGAGATGTTGGAGTTTTAGCTTCTGCTAGTGTTCTAGGTTGCATTTATGCACAAAATATGACCATCCACCGACAGCCTTTTGCTAATTAATGACAATTGGACACCTTTTCGCATGCATATTATCGCACATGAGAACTGTGCAGTTAACTAAGGTGCACATAGCTTTGAAGTCCCGGTGACTCAGGTTGCACTCGGTTGCCACGGGAGCATCACTAGCAGCATGTACAAATACAAGCAGACACTCCAGCATAACTACATGTCTAAATTGGCTACAGGAATTAGGCATAAACATCCGGAGAATCAGCGACGTACGCAAGCATGTCTAGTGATCATCATAATGACGAACAGGCAGGGAAAACAATGGTCGCGTTGCCAGGCTCTCAGCCAGCGAAAGGAATGCTCGTTTACAAAGAGGATGATGTCATAGAGATGTGGTTGGCCAGGTGACCAGCTTACTAAGGTCAGACCCCATTGAACAATACATGTACCCGTACATACATAATAGGTATTGTGTAGCACAAAAGTGGAGCAAAGATCCCTATATTTAGCCCATAATGTAGAAACTACGACATACCGAAACCAGTAGCTTGTTTTCTAAAGCCACTCCTTGTAAACCACAAGGGTATGTATACCATGGTTTTAACATACACACCAGGAGGACATGTTGCCTAACAATATATTTCCCTTCATTTCAGTGCACACACAGAGTACATGACATGTGAAGTGTTGCAGTAAACAGGTATATATACCCCTCACTGAAACGGTAACAAACGCATCAAAACAAGGACACTTCAGGCGGGGGAACTATGGTATGAGTAAAACCCTTTCCTACCGCATGTCGCCCCCGTGTAGTTTAACCCCTCTCTGCCAGGCTCACCTGATGCAGGGCATCCACAGTGGCGAGAGCACTGCTGAATATCTCCAACGCCTCTCCCTCGGCAAGCTTCTTCTGACGGATTACGTAATGTTGCAGGTTCTCCAGGTCCTTATAGTGACCCTTATTGTCGTAGTTGTGACCCACGACGCAATCGAGAACTAAAATAACGTAGTTTCTCTCGCAGAAGAAACCGTGTTGGTGAATGACGCCGGGTTGATCTTGTAGGAGAGATAGCACCGAGAGCTCGTTATACAGGAGCATCCTCCCCTGATTGTCGTTGGTGGCATGGTCACCGCCGTCACCAGGGCCTCCGTTGCCGAGAGTTAGCACTTTGAGAACCACGAAATCGTCCGTCCCTTCTTTCTTGGCGATGTACTCGGAGATGTTTTTCACCGGGGTACCGTTGACTGGCTGGACTAGGGGTCCGATTATGTAGTCCCCGTGGTGTATTCCGTTGTTGAGGCTCAATCTTGAGGGGTCGAGCCTGTCGTTACCCACAATTCCTCGGGATGAGTTTGGGGGTAGAAGTATCGTGCTGCTGCTGGTTGTTCTGTAAGAGACATTAGGTGGAGAAGTGCTAGCAGAAGATGGTGTGGGGTCGCGGAGCGACTGTTGCAGCGGTGGAGCAACGCTGGGAGAAGAGGCGACCGTTGAGCGCTGAGTAGGAGAGGTGGAGAGAGACATTAGTAGTTGATGCTGAACGAGAGGGTGGGAGGGAGACGGAAGGTGGTGCGGGCTAGCCTTCCGAGCACTTTTCCTCACATTGCTGCACAGCCAGGGGTAAAGGCTGCGCGGCACTTCACTCGGTTCTGCAATCTTGACAACCGGGAAATCGCTGCACAAGCCAACACACGAATTACCACGCCGGCGGCTAGCTTTGCACAAGTATATTCGAGCCCTTTCGGCGTTTCTCCGAGCGGAGCGAAGCTTTGGTACTGCAGAAGACGAGCGGGATGCGTTCCTGCACGTCCTTGTTCCCAGTCAGCCCCTGAGGCGTCCTAGCTCGGGCTGATCTCTCTCTCGACAAAAGTGAGGAGAATGCAGTGGTGTCTGACTCGCTGGCTGGGCTGCCGAAGGACAAGACAGGTCTCGCTAGTTGTTGCTAGTTGGTATAATGGGATGGACGTCAGCTCTCCTATCTACTAATGGAGAGCCCGAAATTCCCCGAAGATGAAGTCACACTGCCTTTTTAGTATTCCCCATGGCTGTCAGCTCGATCCTGAGGAATGCAAACACGAGCAGCAAAATTCTCTAATAATGTGACATCACGATTTAGGTACGCGCATGCGCACGTTGAGGAGAAGGGGGCGGGGCTGAAAATGTGCAAAGCCCTCATGCTGGCTTGCACATATGCTACAGGATATGCGTGACACAGTCACAAGATTTTACTCGACCCAGGACGTTTATAGACAGGAAGATGAAGTATGGTTGGCTTGCCTGGTTTTGCTGCCTGCTATTCCTCGGCAGAGTTGTGGGAAAGACACAGGATGAATGGAAATCTAGGATCATATATCAAGTACGTACCACTAGCTACTGCACCGAGGTCCAGCTGTTAGGAATCGTCTGGGAACGACAAATTAGTAAGCCTATACCTATTTTCGTTGAACAAAAAAATCCTCATTAGTTACAATCGTAGCTAGACACGTGTCTGAAAACGAGCACTCTACTGAACAAAGTTAGTGTATATATTAGGTACAGTGTACACCACTTCTCTACTTTTTCCATCTCTCCGCTTGACCCTCCCACAGCTCCTGACGGACAGATTTGCCCAGAATGGAGACCCCTCATCCCCGTGTTCCGATCTCAGTACCTACTGTGGAGGTAACTTCACAGGCATTGGCAAGAAACTGGACTACATCCAGGGCCTGGGAGCAAACGCCATCTGGATATCGCCCATCCCGGCCCAGACAGACAACGGATATCATGGCTACTGGCAGAGGGACATCTTTGAGATCAACCCGCACTTTGGGACGGAGAGCGAGCTGCAGAATCTGGTCGACGAGTGCCACAGTCGCGGGATTTGGGTTATGCTCGACGTGTAAGCAGTTTCCTTAGTCCTACCACTGGTTTGAGCTCATCTCTAAGGACCCCCTTTATGATGACATATCCAATAACTGTTCTTGCATGCAATTCAACCTCTCAAATAAAGTTGTGTTTGTTTTTTTCACCGTGATTATGGTATATGCGGTGGTTAAACGGAAGAGATGTTTCAGCCAGTAACAGCAGTGTTGTATTTATTGTGGGTCATTTCTGTAGGGCTTGGGATTGTCTACTTACACATTAGCAGTGCTATGTGTCCAAACTAGTAGTTTTGTTATCATACCGATGTAGGCACATGATCTGGACGCCAGTCCATCTTTGTAACACATTGTATTGAACAATACGCCTTCACGTAGCGTAGATTAAGGGTAATCTCCTCGGGTTTGTCACAATTGGAAGTGCTCCAAATTAGCAGGTAAACCTGTAAGTTAATGGTACGTAATGTCGTATGTTTTTGTCATAATAATTATGGTATTCATGTGCTCTCTTTGTAACAGTGTAGCTAACCACATGGGGAATCAAGACAACCAAAATTTGAATGATTTCTCTCCCTTCAACCCATTCAACCAGGCCCAGCACTACCACTCTTACTGTCTCATTAAAGACTTTAGCAATCAAACCCAGGTTTGTCTTTCTGGTCAAAATGCACGTATATGGCCACACATACAGTGTGTACTGGCCACCACTTAGTATGAGCCACTTTTAGTATTTAGGGACACAAAACACTTAGTGTTAGTTTTTAATCTAATTGGGCAACCCCCCTTATTGTCTCAGTTTGAATGGAGCTCCATTGTTAGTATATACTCCTCGGTCACTCTATTGTGCATGGGTCAGTCTTTTGTCTCTGTGTCCCCAGTCAGCTTGTCTCCCTCCCTCCTTCAACACTGTCCCCATCTTCACCTTTGTGTCTGTCAATTTGTCTGTCCTCTCTTTTCACCCTGTCTCGTTCCCAGAGTTGTCTTGTGTATACATACACCCCTCTTTCTTGTCTCTAAGTCTTTAAGGTTTTGTCAGTGTGTTCTCTTCTGTCTCTCTCCTCTCCCCCCTCCCTCCCTCTCCACTACTTAGGTAGAACTCTGTCGTCTGGCCAACCTACCGGATCTAAACCAGACAAACACGTTTGTCAACTCCACACTCACCACGTGGATAAACGGCATTGTAACAAAGTACGGTTTCGATGGACTCCGGGTCGACACAACTCCCGAAGTAGCCAAAACCTTTTGGTACATATTACTCCAAATCCTCCGGAGTATTCACCATGGGGGAAGTATTTAACGGGGATCCTGAATATGTTGCGGGGTATCAGGGACCGCTAGATGCCACCCTGAACTACCCAATGTACTTCAAATTGAAGAACGCCTTTCAAGAGAAGCAGACAATGAGGAACGTCCACGATGGAGTGACACAGAATTCCGTGTTCCCAGACGTGTCCGTCTTGGGGAATTTTCTGGACAACCACGACCATCCGAGGTTTCTGAGTCAGAATGGGGACACTGTTGTGCTCAAGAGCGCTCTTGCCTACATTGTATTTGCAGAGGTGTGTCTATGCTTATTATGTCGGGATGAAGTTAATGCTGTGCACTTATTTCAGGGTATCCCCATAATTTACTATGGAACGGAGCAGGCGTTTAAAGGAACTACTGACCCCAATGATAGACAGTCTCTTTGGCCGTATTATAACACAAACAGGTACATATATTATACGTACACATTACCACAGTCTGTGGTAGAGAAAACTGTCCCCGTTTGATAGAAAGTAATTTTAGTGCAGCAATCCCTTTCAATGTGAATTTTACGAGTGTAAATTTTACACTTTCACTCTTTGACGGAGGGAGTGCACATACTCAGCTGAATTTTTCAAATATTGTAACGAAACAGTGACTGTTTTACATTCTATCTCTGTATAGTGATCTCTACCAGTACATAGCAGTCATCAACAAGTTCAGAACGGAGCAGGGTGAGGCGGTGTACGGGCAAGAGCAGGTGGAGAGATATGTGGACGATCAGTTCTTTGGCTTCACCAGAGGAATGGTGAGTGGATCAAAATTGTGGCGGATGGTTGGAGGGAGGGATAGTGGGTATCATTCAGTGGAGCCCTCAAATCCGGACACCAATGGGACAGAAGAGGAAGTGTTCATTTTCTTTATTTCAGGGGTTACATTGCAAGCGAGAACCGTCTTGGGGAAAGAAAAGTGCCCTTATTTGTGGGGTGTCTTAATTAAGGGGTGTCCTTAGAGAGGGTTGCACTATACTTCTATAAGCATGAGAGACCAAAGCAGAGTGCTGAGCCACCCCACCAAGGGCATCTCGGCAGGCACAGTATAATCATAATAATTATCATTAATCATAATAAAGGTACAGTCTTTATTATCTACAACACAAAAAGGCAAACTAAGTCACCTTGTGCACATACATAATAGGAGCAGACAGTTGTAATTAATCTGTGGGAGTGAAATGTGGCTAATGAGGACAATCAGTGAATGAAACTGTATATATATACACATGTCTTTGCAGGTGTTTGTAGCAACCACTAACATCGGCAGTGGGCAGGGGCTGTCTCGCTCCATTACCTACCATCCCTACTCAGATGGCACCAGTAAGACAATACCCAGCCCTGTGGGATACGTACGTGGCGTGGCTATTATATAGCGTGTACATCTGTCTAACATCTGCCTATTACTACTAGGTACTATGTATACTGTGTGTCAGTTTAACCTGCCGCGTGTAGCTACCTGGTGAGATCATGAGGCTTGCAGGGGGCTGAAGCATTCAATCTACGTAGTGTAATATTGTACAAATCTCTCAGTTAATTAAAGTGGTGCCTGTATAATGCCTGTAAATCACACTGGCACACTTTATTTGCTGATAACATATGAAAATGCTTTTTGGCACGTAGTATGGCGATATGTAGGCGTTTGTGTAGTACTTAAGACGTAGGATATGGATATTATATAGCATTGTGATGTGGTTTTCTGTCATCTACTCATGCAGAGCTGGTGAATGTACTGGATTCCTCGGACACAGTGACAGTCAATGGAGGAGCGTTTACGGTGACCATAGAGGGAGGCATGCCCAAGATCTACCACCCTGTGACTAGTGAACTGACAGAGGAGAGGGAGAGGGAGGGAGGAGGTCAGTCTCACCTTTGACCTCTAACGTGTTCTATATACTCTATCTCTTGAATGTGGACAAGGCATGTTCAAAATGCAATCTTGTCCACAAGTTCCACAATTATTCAGATCAAGTCGACGCAATTAGTTATAATTATTATAGTTGACCTAACTCTCCTGAATGTCCATTAGTGTCACTATTTCTCATAAAGCCCATCTCTAAGCATACCCTGAAATGAGAACACCTTTCCCAAGATTCTTGCAAAATAAGACAACTCACTAATATGAAGACTTTCTTTGGTGTCCAGATTAGAGATGCTTCACTGTATGCTGTCTCTCTCTCTCTCTCTCTCTATCTCTCTCTCTCTCTGTCCCTGTGCAGGCGGCCTCGATCACGGGGAAATTGGTCTGGTAGTAAGTGCAGGACTGGTAGCTACACTGGTCATCCTGCTGAGTGGAGTTGTCGTCTACATGGTCTCCTACAGAGTTCGCAGAGGTCGATCTTATTCAGAGCTCTAAAATTTCCACAGACACAGGAAAATATTAATTTTAGAGTGTGTGTGTAAAGAATTTTTAATACGCATGCGTGTAAAATGATGAGTACTACGCATGCGCATACTCTAGCTCCGCTCTCACTCGCTCGCGAGGAGTTTGGTTTTTCCGCGCGACCTTCGGCCGGGGGTGAGGCAAAAAAGGGACAGTCGTTACTAGAGAGGAGGCTAAGGAACAAGGGAGAGGAGCCAAGATGCCGCGTATTATGATAAAAGGAGGTATCTGGAAGAACACGGAGGTAAGCACTAACGCGGCGCTGACGCTCGAGGTGGGCTTTATTTAGAACGCACCCGACCACATGCCAAACCAGAAATGATCAGTGTGAAAGCCTCTGGACTCGTTGCTTTTCCTTTTGGGATATTTATACATAGCTCTACAGTGCTGTGATTCAATTCTGTGAAGGTCTATGTATATGTTGACTGAAGTGTGGGTGTGTATTGTGCAGGATGAGATTCTGAAGGCGGCTGTGATGAAGTACGGCAAGAACCAGTGGGCACGTATCGCTTCTCTCCTGCACAAGAAGAGCTCCAAACAGTGCAAGGCCAGATGGTGCGTTCTCTTGTACACACCTTTTTGCTTCTCTCTCGTAGTGTTAGTGATTACATCGTGTGTGACAGATTGTGGCCTTGTGTTTTATTGTTGCTGTATACCTATCTATGTGCAGGTACGAGTGGCTGGATCCAAGCATCAAGAAGGTATGTATGACGTGGTGTTACGTAACTCTTCCCATTTCTTCCATACTTACACACAACTAAGGCCTTTATGCATGCCGTAGTCTATGACTCTGTTTGAGCATACAATGTGTGCACGTGTGTAGCTGGAGTTGAAATACCCAATTAACTAATAGGAGTTACCCTTGGAGTTGTGTTATAAGTAGTGCTAGATAAATTTGATTTGACATACAAATGAAGCAGTTGCAGGTACTGAGTTAGCCCCTATCGTTACACTCTATACATAGACTGAATGGAGTAGGGAGGAGGAGGAGAAGTTGCTGCACCTGGCCAAACTGATGCCGTGTCAATGGAGGACCATCGCTCCCATTGTTGGCCGCACTCCTGCCCAGTGTCTGGAGCACTATGAGATGTTACTGTGAGCTATGTAACCTTCACACTACACATACAGTTATTATTAACCCTCAGCGCGCATGCCACCAAGCGTGAAATATTGAACTGCTCGCACTCGCTCACCAACAATGTGTTGCATTCCTCTAACTATATATATGCAATACCTCCTTTTTCAAAGATAAACCTGAAAAATTGTTGCAGCTCTCCGTAAGTATTTGCCTCTCAGCATCTCCCCTCCTTCCCCCCTCTGATCTGTGACCAGAACGAAGGCCCAGCAGAAGGAGGAGAGGTGGTGGACGACCCTCGTAAACTGAGGCCGGGTGAGATCGACCCCAGCCCGGAGACCAAACCCGCCAGACCTGACCCCGTGGACATGGATGAAGATGGTATACTTAAGGGAATGTGTGGGGCTGTAAATCTTAATGTTAATGTACATCTGTTTACATCTGGGTTTCTCTCCATCATATTTTGTTAGGTTTGTTTTATCATTAATCATGTGATAATGTTTTATTAGGTGTGCTACTCGTTAAAGCCCTTGTATATGCTTCCCTCCTCTCTCTCCTCTCCTCTCCTCTTCTCAAATCTCCTCCCCTACCCACAGAGAAGGAGATGCTGGCAGAGGCGAGGGCGCGACTGGCCAACACCCAGGGGAAGAAGGCCAAGAGGAAGGCAAGGGAGAAGCAGATGGAGGAGGCCCGCAGGCTGGCATCTCTCCAGAAGAGAAGAGAGCTGAGGGCAGCTGGGATTGGGTGAGAGACCAAGGGGTCTGCTGCGTAAAACAAGAGATAAAGCACGATAGCAAAATCAGAGAAAAAAGATTTTGTAGACAAGTCAACAATATTATTAATGCTCAATTTGCTAACCTAAATGGAGTAGGTGTCTGAGAAATGCACTAGAAGCTTGTTTTGATGCATGAAAACACAATGGCTCATGAGCTGCTTAGGGAAACGGATCCAGAGGCATTTTAAAACTCAATGTGAGTTACTACGAGTTTAGTAAACCAGTTTTCACGTGGGAATGAGTTAGCTGTGATGTTATCTCCATATGCAGTGGAGGGTCACGGTACTACCGTCCAAACCGCAAGCGAAGGATGATTGACTACAACGCAGAGATTCCCTTCGAGAAGCAGCCGCCCATCGGGTTCTTCGACACGTCGGAGGACGTTGCCATGGACGAAAGACACAACTTCAAGAGACTGAGGAGAGAGGACGTGGAGGGAGTCCGGAGAGATGTGGAGGAGGCCGTGAGTGGACTGTGTGCCTGTGTCCGAGATTCTTTGGGTTTTAGAGCATTAGACTGAAACTGGATGGATGAGCCTCCATCCCGGTTCCTAGAGCACCGTATTTCAGGAGGCTGCAACTGCAGGAGGGAGGTGGGGTTTTGGCATCTAGCATTTCCAGTGCTCTGTACTACAGTGGGGTTTCTGAGTGCACGGTGGAGAGTTAACCCTTTGGACGCCATGGAGATCTGCTTAAAATATGCACAAATTGATGTATAAAGTGTTAGCGCCTAGTATTATAACCCCCATATAAATTCTTAGGGGCTCTGGACACATGTATGTGTCCTTGGCTGGTTAAGTGTTAATGTATACAGGTCTGGTTTGCTGTATAATTATACTTCTAAACTGTGTGTTGTGTGTTGTATATAGAAAGAGAGGAAGAAGGACAAAGAGAAGCTGCAGAAGAAGAAGAAGGAGGGAGACCTGTCCATGCAGATCAACAAGTTAGTTCCACTCTCATTCAGAGCAGCTTCGTCACACGAGGCAACTTGTTGCTACAACCAACATGTTGCAAGCAGCAAAGTTGCCCTATCTATATATATGGTAGCAAGTTGCTTGGTAGTTTGTCTTTTGCACTACACGCAGGAGTTGCTAGATATTGACAGCCTTCACTGCAACATGTTGTGAGACAAAAAATACTAAATAAGCAACGTGCAAAGCAAAATAATTTATTGTTTGGAACATGTTGAAACATTTTTCCTTATGTTGATAAACTCTTCCAACTTTTTCCTTGCATATAGCTGTTGAGGGACAAAACGTTCACAAATTTAGAGACTTACACAGAGCCATCTACAATTTTTTTTATGAACAAAATGAAGAGCCTTCAAAAAAAATGTCTGGCTATGCAGTAAGTATCGTGGTAATATTCTGTTCCCAGGATGGCCAATCCGGAGGTGGCTAAGAAGAGGAGTAAACTGGTTCTTCCTGCTCCGCAGATATCTGACAATGAGCTGGAGGAGGTTAGCTCTTGCCTTACGTGTCCAAGAATGCCACATACTATAGTGCTCTCCCTACTAGTCATCTGAATTGCACGGTTTACTGTTTTGTATCTGACCATTTGCTATTTTGGTGACAGTTGGTATGTACGAAATTGTTCAGGTGGTAAAGTTGGGATTGGCATCTGAGGAGGCTCGAACCATCGACGGCAGTGAAGCCTCGCTACATCTGCTGGCTGATTACTCCGTTACTCCGGGGGCTACCCCGTCACTCCGTACCCCGAGAACTCCGGCTGCCCAGGACACCATTCTACAAGAGGCACAGAACATTCTGGCCTTACAGAACGTCCAAACTCCGCTGAAAGGAGGGGAAAATACTCCACTCCGTGATTCCGATTTCGACGGAGTTACCCCGAAGAAGGCGGTGGTGCAGACCCCGAACGTGGTGCTGGGGACTCCGTTCCGTACGCCCGGTACTGGCGGTCCCGGTTCCACGCCACGGAGCATGACTCCTCGTGTTGGGGGCGTGTCCGGCAGTGCCACACCCTCTGCGGGTAAGTTATATTACAGCAGGATCTCAGTTTGTATAATCATTCATTGGATGGCCCTCAACTATATAATGGTACTTAGTTTTTCAGAGTTTACAGTGGTACCCTTTTGTTTCCAAAAGTACAGGTTTAGATGCGATTTAGCCTGTCAACTTCGCAATATGGACACTTTCTTTTGTCCCATTGGTATCGGATGAGAGGGGTTCAATTACCATTTATATCAGTAATACACACAAGCAAAGTACTGCTTACAGGACAGCGGTGAACGTACTGTGGGTGTCTGTAGGTTACATGACCCCGGGGCAGACTCCAGTGAGAGACCAGCTCAGTATTAACCCCGAAGACACTGTGGCTACTTACAGGTCTGTGGATCACCCTACTCTCTCTCTCTCTCTCCCACTCTATATGTATACATTCTCAGTGGCCCCTAACAACATACACACTTCTCACAAATAAGTTGTAGTTCATGTGATTTGCAAAAGTTTTAGCCCATGCCCTATATACTGTATGTTATTGAACAACTGAAAACAGTGATGTAATAGTGACGTAAGGTCTCTTTTTCTTTGGACGTAACAGTTCTTTAGTCCCGTCCTTCCTCTCCTCTCATCATGTAGCGATCCACGGCAGCAGCAGTACGAGCTGAAGGCCCAGCTGGTGGAGGGACTTCGTTCTCTCCCTGCTCCCCGCAATGACTTCGAGATCGTAGTCCCCGAGGAGCAGCATCTGGAGCACATGGACGACGACGGAGAGGGGGCGGGGTTTGTGGAGGACGCGGCCGACATTGCGGAGAGGAATGCCAAGTTGAGGAAGGAGGAAGGTGCGGATTAATACTTTTTACTTTTTGGGGATAATTCATGTTTGATTGGAGATTCTAGCATGTGGAAAGGACAAGTTGAATTTGTGTGGGAAAGAAGATGGGAACCTTGACAAACCTCTTTTTCTACAGATGAGGAAAAAAGGAGTGGAGACGCCAGCTCGCAGCGGGCCGGTTTCACAAACGCCACTCCCACGGGACCGGGCGACTGAAACACAGCCACCTCAGAGGAAGACTCCTCACAACGCCAGCGCCGAAGAAACAAGACGCTCTTTTTTTTATCGATTGGGTCTGTCTGACTCCATTTAGAGCCCACCCTGCTCCCACATTATAGCAACTGGAGGAGATTTCTCTTCCTCTTCTTTCTCCCCTCTGGGAGTTGTCATCTCCTTTGCTTGTAGTATAGCAAAGAAAATAGGTTGAGAACCTGTACCGTATAATGGTTTCTGTATTTCTGTGCGTGTTTTGGATGGATGGTCAATTTCCCATGTACTATAGGTATAGAACGAAAAGAGATAGAAGGGGGGGGTGGGGGGGGGGAGGGGACAAACGATTGGACGGTGCGATCCTACTCGATGGGCGGAGCAGTGAATGAAAGGGAAAGGGTAGAGAAGAAGAGCGAACAAAAGGAATGAAAAAAGGATGGGAAGAAGAGAGAGGTCGGGGAGGGAAAGAGAGAGAGGAAAGAGACAACTGGCGGGACGAACGGACCAGTGCAGAGGGAGATGCAGGAAAGGCTAGGAGAGGATTTAGTGATGCGTTTGTGCGGTACGGACCTCATCACGACACCACCCCTCCTACAGGTCAGTAATACTCTCACTGTCTCAACAAGATTGTTAGCTGGCTGATGAATATAACAAAGCCAATATGACATTTACACAATGGTGACGTGGTACATGTATACAGCAGAACCTCCGAATAAAGGACACAATAGGTACGAACTAAAAACAACGGAAAATGCTCACCAGCTGATTTCGCGACTCAAAACTTAGTCTTAAAATGACGAACCAACCATCACTGTAAAGAACACTCACCCAGAATGCACTTGTACATACGTCGTTCTTAGTTGATGTTGTGTCTCATATCACCTGTCTGTAGGACCGACTAAGGCCGTCTTGAATAAGGTGAAAGCCGACTTGGAGGCTGGTCCAAAAGAGAGTGTCACCGAGAACGAGATGGCTGCTGTGAGCTCAGAATTTCATACCTACCAACTACTTACGTAGCAATCAAAAATACTGCCCATTCCAGCAGAAAATTGCCGGATTCCTCAAAGAACCCGGGATGTATCTTAACCATACATTTTGAAGGGGCATGCAGCATTTTCTATCTCAAATGAACCATACGACCCGTGTTGCTCGCCAGAAAATCCTTTCATTTGTTCTAGTATGTTATCTGAACATTAGTAACATACACAACACCACCTTTAGCCGGTCTCACCCCCCCACTGCAGGCTGACGCCCTCCTGAAGCAGGAGATGCAAGTGGTGAAGGTGGGTATGGGGCACAAGGAGCTGACTGGGGCAGAGTACAGTTCCATATGGGAGGAGTGCTATAGGGAGGTGGTGTACGTACCTTCACAGAGCCGCTACACCAGGGCTTCCCTCTCCAGGTATTGAACCATGTGATAGAAATGCGTTCTATTTCATGCAACTTTGAGTTACTATGCATTGAGTAGCCAGCGTTGAATATACCAACAACGTATTTCGTGACTCAAAACTTGTCTTGAATGAAGTAACAAGGCAACATTGTGCACAGTCTATCATACCCATACATTTGCACTTGCATGCGAGTTTGTCTTTTACACGACAAAGTTGCAATGTGTATCACAGCTTTATCACTAAGTATGGTCATCATAGATGTATGAGGCTGTATGATAGCGGAAGGAGATCCATCCAAACAACACGCAACGAAAATACCTGAACCATTATATTAGCAGTCTCAACCTTATTATTATTGCTACAATCATTGTTATATGTGGGAGCAGGGTGGGCCTCTAAATGGAGTCAGACAGGACCTCATAGAGGTGGTCTGTCTTCTGCTCCTTGTGAGGGGCTCTCTCGAGGATTGCTTTGTTCAGTCGGCTCGGCGTTGGTGGAGTGAACTTTGGAACCGGGCTGGCGACTGGTCTAAACTCTGTTCTCATCGTAGGGGAAAGAGGTCAAGGTTCATCTCTTTCCCACACAAATCAACTTGTCTTTAACATGCTAGAATCTCAAATCAAAATGAATTATCCCAAAAGTAAAGTAAAAGTATTATCCCACCTTCCTCCTTCCTAAATTGGCATTTCCTCTCCTCAATGTCGGACCCCGCTTGTCTGTCATCCACATGTAACTCACAGTGCCGTGACCACCCTGCTCCGTACTGATACGTTCCATGTGCCCAGATTGCTGCTATATAGTCTCAGGGGTCACACGATACCCCCGATCTCTGAATTGAGTCGAATGATATGCTAAGTGTGTGTTAGCTACGGCATTCGACTTTTCATCCCATCGTACATCAACTGACAACGCCTACATTCGTCCTACCAGCGCATGGTA